TACCTCGGCTTTGCTGGATGCATTGCTCACGAACGAACCTTGGCTCCGAAGTGCCGTGATACCACATGTCCCATCTGCGGTGCTTGATGAAGGACCAAAACCTCTTGACATTTGTCTGTAGTGACTCAAATAATATAGTTGAGGCGAGATACTCTTGTTCATCCTTCCGCAAGTCATATTGGGACCTGTTTCCTGAGTGCTTTGTACTGTTTCCATAGTTGATTGGTGTTGGGTGATTTTGCAGCATAAAAGGCCCTATTCTTCTGTCATATCAGTCGTTTGAGTGATCTGGTTAGCCAAGGAGTTTCAAAAATGCCTCAAAAAGAACATCTCAAATGAAACACTATCACAGGAATTCAGGCTGCTGCATCCAAGACAAGAAAGCTAGAAATGTTTCTCAAAGGGCGAGTATTTTTCAAGGCATAAATGAACTGATGTAGCTCTGTATTTGACATGGTCCAACTACTGTTACATCACATGCAACTGAACTTCAACCTGCTGTAATGCGATACATGTACATGTATAATCCAAAATAGGCAGCCTAGTACAGAATCGCTGCATGTGATTCATCAAGGGATTCTGGCAAAAATCAAGAGGGATACTCTTCAAAGAAGGGCAGTCACTGACTATCTGCTGAATAAATTAAAGTACGAATGGCACGGTAAAGAGAAACGAAGCATGTTTTAGAGGAACACAAACAATTACCACATTTAAAAAATACATTCATTTAATTACAGCAGCATAATTCATAAACATTTTCTGGAATGAGTGGTGCCCAAATTATGAAGAAGAGCATACATGTACACACATTCACCTGTTTTCTAGATTGGTTCATTCTGACCATTAAAAACTACATGGGATCCCAACAGCGCTCTTCAAACAATGTGATTGCAAAAATCTTTATATTTAACATCCAAATGGCACAATTAATTTCATAATTTCTTTGATTCTCTTTCTGTTGTCGGAAGTAATCAGTCCTCGAGAGCCGATTTCTATGCAGATTAATTTAACATTCCACCCTTCCAATTCCATATGACAGAGGCTGACGTATCGATAGTCTTTCTCTCTTGAGCGTCCTTGATGATAATCCCAAGTGGAACAGTAAGCTCTATTAAAACGACAAGCTTCCTACATTAATCTAAATAACACATTTGGTTTCTGTTGGGTAGGGAGAATACAAACTTTAGATACATGTAGATACATGTACATTTACTGTAACACTCTAAGCAAACATACAGGTACCCGGTACCGGTCTCTTGTAAAGTTTGCTTGGAAAGTTTTCATTGAGCAGAATCCGCAGTAATCGGGTGGGAATGTACGTAGTTGTACGGTACAAGGGAACAAGAGGGTGAGTAGCTTGGTCGGCATTTTAGGCCAATTATTATCCTAATTTACCCTATTTCCCAATCCTAAGCTACTTCTACTTCAACTACCGGTTGGGCTGAGTCATTTTGAACAATTCACTATTCGAATATCCGACCTTCAATTCGATCGAATATCCGAATATTCAGTCATACCGACTGGCAGATTGTTGATGAACAATACAAAATCAGTTGCAAAAACAGACAAAATTGTAAATTTTAATCACTATAATAGCTTTTCACGTCTTGGAGTACCTCCAGCCGAGATTTCGCAAGATTTAGAGACGAACAATACTTCTTGTCCTTTAAAGTTTTGAAATGGCTCAATTAATTTTTTAATCGTTGTAAGATTTCTGTCATTTTTCATTTCAGTCTGCTTGAAACAAGCCTCCACAGTGCAATTGAANTAGTATAATGACCAACTACTCTATGAGATAAAAGACACTCAGTTGTAGGTACAGAGGTGCAAATGTACCTGAACATGGTGTACAATACGGGTGCGTTCACGTGGTTACTCCTGTTAATACGAGATTAGGACGCATGAGCATTACACCCAGATGCAGAAGTATACTCCCCCTCCAGTGAGGGTATACTCTCGTTGACTCGCGGGTCGTACTCCTGCCGTTCCAGCGCTCGAGTATACTTATGTTGACATGAGTAGCTCACTCAGACGCACCCCGAATGCCAACTCAAGCAGCAGAAAAATGTGTAGATGCAAAGCATGATCAGTAATAAAAATGTGTTCATGTTAAAATTTAATTGAAATAAAATGTATGAATGTTTGATGTAACCCCGTTTGCGACTTTCTCGTGGGTCTTGATTCTGGGAAAGGACACTGCCACTGGTAAAATATTCTGGTTTCAGGCTAATTTAAGAAAAACCTCTATGCACAACTATTCCACTGGCTTAGAGTGAGGTCATGTGTGACGTCAACATTTGGCATTCCTAAATGCACATGTATAAATTTGCGAAACAAATGCAGAACTGAGCACTCACACTTAGCCATGAAACAGTCATCGTGGGATGAGTTTGAAAGGTGCCTTGGTTGCAATCAACACTTTGACAGTATAGCCGTGAGTTACCCAGAAAAATGTGTGTAGGCCTATTTAAAATACATAATATTTACGCCTTACATGTAAGTGGATCCTGTGTTTCATGAATGCTCTCCATTGATCTGGTGAATGTTACCAGCGCACAAACCTCTCAGACTTGCCTGAAAAAACCTAAACATGTGTTTTCGGGAAGAATTCCATATACGAAGTTCACTGTAATATCGCGTAATTACTACAAAAGTATCCTTACTTTGATCGCTGAATGAAGACAATTCTAATAGGCATTGAAGAGCTGAACATCATAGGACAGAAATGTGGAATTTTGGGCACACTTTTGGAGCTACACATGGACCAGGTTTACATCGACAGGCGGCCATCTTTGCTTCTGAAGAACACGGCAAATGCGCACGACGTGTGCGCATGAACCAAATCATATCCGGAAAGAACCATTATGTACCAGGGGTTGGGCTGCCACAAGCATTGAGGTAATTTTATGCATGAATCCGCAACACGAGGAGTGCAGAGGGCCGTCATCTGTCTGGATGGATCTACACAGTTTACGAAATGCCGCGCAATGTGCCCTACTGTACATGTACAATTTTTACTTGGGGGAAAATAGTGCGTGTTTTGCGACAATTTTTAAGTTGGAGGATTTGGTTAGAAGGAAAAAATGGGCCCAATTTCTTTTACAGACAGTTTGTAA